CTGTGGCGACCTCCGCGCAAATACGCTGCGTATACGTTATATTTTGAGATGTGCAGCTAAGCGCTTCAGACTTTTATGGCGCTCACACACACACACAGAAGATAAATGCACAGCTAATGCCACATACATGTGTTTACATATTTGCAGTAATTGCCATTGTAAATAGGGACAGGAAATGTGGCTAGCTGTTTAGTTTTAAGTGTCTAATTAAATTATTCGCATTTAACAACCAACTGTGACTTGATTGTGCAAAAGCCATGACTAAACCCAAGTAGCCGACATGGAATCGAAGCTTTTGTTGCTTGTTATTTAATTGTTTGTACTGTTTGCACACATTTTTCACAAGGTGTAACATTTTAATTAACACACAGCTCATAATTTGTGAGCGGCAGCAAAAAGCACACTGAATTTTATTTTTTATTTAAGTTCATTTCGAAATGTGTGTGTGTGTGTGTGTGTGTGTGTCTGAGTGTGTATAATTTGTACAACTAGCACAACGAGTGCTAATTAAGTGTGATAACTGCCTATTTTTTATTTTATTGTGTTGACTTTGTTGAATTTAGCACTTTTTTGTTGCAGCTCTTTCAACGCAACTCTGTTAGACACATAGAAATTGTGGGGCTATCATTTTTCTACGGTACAGGCTTTAATTAGCCAGCTCAAGCCCATCAATAGGTCTTACTGCTTACAAATATCTTCTTCTTTGTTTTTTGCATCAGTAAAAAACGCCGCCAGACAAACCGCTGGCGTATCAATAAACGGGCGAATGAATAAATATAAGCCTCAATAACAGCTATTGTTCAATCATAAATTAAACAAGCCCCATATGGTGTGGCTGCCTATCTATAAGCGAGTATAAATAATATAAATATTAGGCGAGAGTGTGCACACACACACGCACACACACACACACACTACACACATACAGACACACACTCCTCACGCAATATTTATGAAGTAAATCAGAAACAACAACAGCAAATGCGAGACATGAATACGCCTAATGCCAAAAATCAATACGGCAACTTTATCAGCGTTCATATAAATTATGACTAATTGTGCTAAAAACGTGACAGAATGGCCCGACTAGCTGCCATAATTAATAAAATGTTGATACCGTTCGTGGAACGAGCTTCAGCGAGGACTACCCCAACGAGTGCAAGCGAGAGGCACAGTTTCCGGGTAATCGATTTGACATCAAATACCATTTAAAAAGGGGAGCAAGGCCGCTTGTACTCAGTGACAACTTGTGCCTTATTTCCTGTGGTGATTCAACGAAGATTCCAAGAAATAGCTGTTCTAGACGCAGTCATTAAAGTAGATATAGATTTATAGTTGTGCCAAAATGTACGAATAAAAAACTCTGGAAGTTTGATACAATGAAGTGTGTAACGGGCAGTATATATATTATTAACCACTATCAACACACGAGTCAAACTCTGAGACTTCCAATTTGGAATATAAGTTATCGAATACCAAACACAAATTAGGTTTCTTCATAAATTGTATCGATATCTGCACCCGTTTCACGTATTTCGATACAAATCGATTTCCGAAAGCTATAAATGACTCAATTGTAATAATAAAAAGTAAAAATATTTAATTATAATAATAGTTATTTATTCGAAATAATTAATAGATTTAAAAACAATTGAAATATTTAAAAGCTGTGTCCAGATTTTTCAACAATTTGGAAGAATTGTATACGTTTTTTGCTTAGTAGTCAACATTTTAAGAATGAGTATTTTGCAAATGGTATATTTATGAAACTCAACTTATCCTGGCCATAATTACATGCATATGAATACATATAACTGTAAGAAGGATATAGAGTTACTTCAAGTATTTCTTCTAAAGTCGCCAAACTAAACACGTTTTTTGATTGCATATAAGAACACTATCGGCCACTATCGGAATACCATATTTATGCATATAACTCCATTTTTATGGCAACGTGTCTACGTCAAATGTGACACATGTGTTACCCGCACCCAATATTCAGAGCAATTTACATCATAAATATAAGCGAAATAAATATTTATATTTATAAGAACTTTTGTTCACCCGCTCCATTGCTGGCTACAAAGCGTCATTTCCCAACTTGGGTGAATTTTGCGATATTGTTTCAACTCAGTTTAACGTAAATAATGCCCGCCTTAAATATGGTCCTTATCGTGACACTACAAAAATAAGCACAAAAACAAGCCACACGCTAACATTAGGGTATTCACACACACACTCACACACACACACACACACACACACACACACTCACATATACACACACATACAGACGAAGCAAGTGTGTACATAGGACAGAAAAAAGCGCTTAAGTACCGATAAGAAATTTGCCATTTTTACAATAGTATCATAATAATTTATGGCGGCCCATTGAGTGTTATAAAAGCTTCAATATTTTGTAGTTTATGACTTGCGCCAGTTGGGCATGGGCGTAATTACACACACACACACAGGCAAACACACACACACACACATTACACATAAGCTGTACGTCATTATTGCCAATGTGCGCTGGGCCTTTGTTAGTAGAAATGAATTATGGCTCTCAACTCTTTACTCAGTTTAGGTTTTGGGCTCCCTCTCTCTCTCTCTCTGTCTTTCTCTCTCTCTCTCTCTCTCTCTCTCTCTCTCTCTCTCTTTCGCTGTGTGTGTGTGTGTGTCTCGCCTGCTGGGCCATAATTTATGGCATGCGGCGAAATGGATTTTATTGCAAAAACCATGTTCGAGTTTATGGCACAACTGTAAGTGGGTAATATTCATTTCATTTATATGCACTTTGCTTTTGTGCCTTGTGCCTTGTGCCGGCATTTCTCGTACTGCAAATCGCTAGTTTTCACTTTTCAGTGTAGAAGGAAGGGAGAGGAGAGCACTAAAACAATGATTAGTTATTAGCCATGATTAATGCGCAATGATTAGACCGAAAGAGGTGCAGCCTCAGCGTAATCATTGCCAATATTACGTTGTCATATTTGATGACCATTTTATGGCCAGCAATTTCATTAAATGAATTGCACGAATTGGGAAATTATTACTCCAACAAATTGGCGGGGTTATAAAACTGATTAAATGCGCGTACCTTAATCAAACTGTGCTCAACTCAACCCAACCAGAAGCATAACCCAAAAATGGCTAATGACGAATCATATTATTTCCATTGCATTAGCTCATCCCACAATCGTGCCTGGAAGATATGAAAGCGACCTCATTTAGCTATTTTTATGCATGATTAAAGATTAACAAATAAAATGATAAAAATTAATCTACTGTGAATGAGAGAAGGGAAACCATATTTAACAAATAAATATATGCAAACAGAAAATACAATGTCTTAAATAAATTAGTTTTTTAACCTCTTAATTCAAATGTAATCTGAAGTCTTTTAGTTGATAGAATTATACTTTTATCAAGGTAAATGAAAAATAAAATAAATAGTAATTAATCTAAAAATACTTAAGCTAAGTATTCCATGTTTACATATTTGATGTTTTATCAATTGAAGCGTAGATATTATATACAAATTATTCAATTCTTATAACAAATACAAAGGAATCTTAATCTGAAATTAAATATAGTCATTTTTGAATAAATCCTCCCAAATAAAATCTTATTTTACCAAAAAATAAATTACTCTAAAAAAAATACTTAAACTAATCTTGAAATGTTTGCATTCACTCACATTTTTTTATCAGCATAAGCATAAATATGATTATTTAAAAATCATAAAATAGTGGCTATATATATACATTCCCAGTTCTCAATCGTTTCTTCCGCTCTATTATGCCTTTAGGCAGAAAGCTTATCTTATTTTTAGCGCCCCGTGGCAATAATGGTTGGGGCCCCCACCCAAGTGAGCTTCTACCCGAAATGCTTTCACACTACATTTGCGTCGTAATTTCATATTTAATGTACTTTTTATATCGTTTATTTGCAAACGTTTTAATAGCCCCATAATTCCATTTATTTGGCCATGCCGGGCATATTTATGGCACTCAGCCCTTATTTATGATGGAGCCCCAAGCGAAAACAAGGGCAATCTAAGTTCTGCTTTTCGGATGTGGAGAACAACAACACCAAAAAAAACACCCAAAAAAATGAAAGCGAGTACTCGTACTCGTACGAGTGTTTTTCATGATCACGCCGGAGTGTTGGCCCAAAGATTAAGATCAGACATCGTGCTGAAAATGCACAAAGTTGGCGACCGAACCGTTAAGGGAAGTGTTTAAGGAACAAAAGTGAACCAAAAGTGTGCAAAGACAATGCTATTAAAGGCGACAGTGGTTTTTTGCTCTTATCTGATGCCGCCTGGCACGATACGAAGACTATAACAGGCCCGGGCTGGCAACAGTTGCCTTACCTTACCCTTTTTCAACATCCCTCTACACTTAAAAAAAAAAGATTGCCCTAAATTGAAATTCACCCTGAAAATACACAATATTATTTTTATAAATAATTTCTAAACATTGGGAAAAAATTTTATAAACTTATGAACTCTAAAATTATTGCGATTTAAAATAATTTCTATTGTTAAGAAAAACTTTTCTAAATTCAGAAACAGTTCATAAAATTTACTAGCTCGGCTTTTATATTTGAGTTTAGTTCGAAATGTGAATTTATATAGTATTTAAAATGTTTGTTTAGATGAAATCATAAAATACAAATATTTAATAATAATATAAGTATCAAAAAAAACGAATATAAGTATTCTACAAGGCATACACATAGACAACAACTCTCTGGAAATTACACATATTTGATCTAAATTTTAGAAATATCCGCACTGAAATTTAGAAATGCAAATTTTAGTTTTTAGAAACTTTACAAATGTACTATCTGAATAATATGGCGACTAAGCATTGATGCCAAATTTGTGGCAATTTTTCGATGAGTGTACTTAAAGATATATATGCATATGGGTAGCTGGCTAATAATTTTAACTCTTGACTGACTTTGTGCCTCCTTTTTGTGTTTCTTGGTTGCAGCTGGACAATAAGAGCAGCCCGTTGGCGCTATTGGCGCAAACATGCAGCGCCATCGGTGCGGACACAACAAATCCGAAGCTGCTCGCGGCGAATATTGAAAAGTCGACCAAGCAGCAGCCGCATCAGGCCAAAGGCATGGCTTTGAATATGGGCAATGTCAACGGTTTGGCCGGCATGGGGGGGGATAATGCACGCGATAAATCCTCACCGGTTAGCAGTCATTCATCCAGCGTCAGCACCGGTTCCGTTGAGCAGCAACAGCTGCCGCCGGCACACAGTAAAACACCCAGCACATTCAAGCCCTACGAGACGAACAACAACAGCAGCAGCAACAATAACGATTGCGGCGCCACAAATCTCACCAGCAGCAGCAGCAGCAACAGTGGCAGCAACCAGCGTGTCAAGACGCCCAAAGCGAGTGGAATTGCCTCCTCATCCTCAACAAATGGACAGCAGCGTTGCGATTCAAATCAAAGTGCCAGCAGCTCACAGCGCGAGTCGCCAAATGCATTGAATGCCTCCACAGCCACCGCCACCGCCACCGCCAACGCCTCCGTCTCTGCCTCTGCCTCTCTGCGTCGCACACCCAACACACCGGCTCTGCCCCAGCTAAATGGCAGTCCGGTGCAATCGTCCGCGCCAGTGCGCAGCAATTCCAAAGAGTCGCCAGCGATGCACAGCCCGAGTGCGGCAAGCTCGAGTCGGCTGCAGGAGGCAGCCTATGCGGCAGCCAAGGAGGCAAGCTATGTGAAGGCGCTGCATGCAGCCAGCCAACAGGCGAATCCCTCCACAGGCTCCTACTATCCGCCAGGTAAGTGTCACCACCAACCCAATCAACCCAAAAACACAAATGCAATAAGCTTCGATTGAGCCAAATTAATTTTAGTTTCACTTCAAATTGAAAAACAAAAAACAACAAAAAAACAATCGCATGACTAAATTTGAATGCAAAAGATATTAAGTGAAATTTACTCAGCTTTTGATTTATTATACTATACACAAGAAGTAGATTATATATATATTACCATCCGTAAAACCTTTCGCAAAAACTGAAGACTATTGAAATATTGTGCCTAAAACACATGTGGCTAAAATATTAAGCTTCAGAATGAGAAATAATATTCAGAGTGTCAAAAACCCCATTTATCGTGGCATATATTTAGATCATTTAATAACCTTTTTCTTATTTTTAATGGGTGCAGGGTATAAAAACTATTTCAAGCAAATTCCAGCAATGCTAAATTGCCAAGTCAACATATTCTAACCTTTATAAATTGCTTAATAATTTTAGCCAAGTCAAAATTCCACTTTCATTAAATGTTGTTTTCGAACTCTTGAAATGACATCTCTATAAATATACTCTAAAACTTTCTAAAATTCCAGGGGAAATTTCTCTAAAATTTCGACAAATTTTTACAATTTATGGAGTGCTTTTAATTGTGTACACAGAACTTTAATATTCGATTTTACGTCGTCGATATTATTATTATTAAACATTAGTCTGTCAAGGTTTCGTAAATACCCTTAGGGCATTTCTTCAAGTTCTTCAAAATTAAGAACTAAAAATAGAAGAAATAAAGTTCAATTTGCTGTGATCACTCTTTTTATTTATGAATACCACATTTAACATCACTTTTACAATCGTATTTCAAATGCTCGATCTTTGTGAGTCAGTCTAAGTTAACACGACCTGTTTATTCTGTGCGTAATCCACAGGCTATGGCACACCTTATCCGATGGACTTGATGACAGCGCAATCGTTGATGTCGCCACACCATGCCATGTTTAAGGCCTCGGCTATGAATCCCTATCTGAGCTATGCCCGGCTCAAGGGCCTCTCCGACCAATCGGCTATGATGGCAGCCTCGCAGAACGTGTGTCGGGATCCCTACTGTACAGGTTGTCCAGCTAGTCCGCATTATATTAACAAGGCCGCCGGCCAGCCCTGTCCTGCCGGTTGTCCGCAGTGCGAGTCGGGCAAATCGGGTGGCAACTCTTCAGCTGGTGGCAGCAGTGCGGCAGCAGCGGCGGCAGCAGCAGCAGCTGCATCATCGTATCATGCCCAGCTGGCGGCATTGGCAGCGGCGTCCCAGTTGCCGTACGTGTGCTCCTGGATTGGCAGCGATGCGGCATATTGTGGCAAACGATTCGGCACCTCCGACGATCTGTTCCAGCATTTGCGCACCCACACCGCCTCCGTGCCGGATGCAGTGCTCAGTGCGGCAGCGGCGGGTGGCATACCACCGAATCATCCGCTATTTCAACGCACCTATCCGACACCGCCGCTGAGTCCGCTTTCGGCGGCGGCCCGTTATCATCCATATGGTAAGCCATCGATGATGCCGCCATCTCTGGCACCGCCTGGCATGCCCGGACTGCCGCCACATCCTGCATTGGCGCAATACTTTGCGCCGTATTCGTTATACGGGCCACGTATGGGTTCCTCGCATCCGTAGTCGGAGTTTGGGTGGAGCAGTGGAGCAGAAGTTTGAGCAGCTGTTCAACATTCAGTCAAATCATCATTTTGCTTGAGTTGCTCCTGGGGGGCTAAGAGTGCAGGTCAACTCACTCGTGAAACGTGAAAAGCTAGTGATCTAATGTACGTTAGTTACATACAAATGTTAAAAAAAAAATAAATAAAAAATAAATAAATATAAATATATATAAATATATATATATATTAGCTTTAGGCGCTGCAGCAAGTTGAAAAAGTTCTATTCAGAAAAGGAAGAAATGGATATGCCACACAAATCAATTTGTTCGACAGTGTGTCTCTCTCTGTGTATGTCCCATTTAATGCTTATGGTAATTTTAAATATTATTTATTAAATTAAAAACAAAAGAAAAAAAACACACACACATATATGTATATATAAATATATATATATATATATGATTGCATATGGCAAACCAATTATGAAATGAAAAGATTGTCCAAAAACTAAAAGTTGTAAAAGTCTTGTACATTATAATATTAATATAATATTATAATATTATATAATATGAATCTATGTTTATGTATATGTATGTAAATGTAATTATGAACACTATTTTAAAGTTCATTTAAGTCACTACAACAAACATCAATAAATCAAAGAAAACTTTACAACAAATTGTGCTTTAATCGAAATGGATCTTTGGCTCAGAATTGAGATGAGTTCCGATTAGAAATATTGGCCTTGGGCATTGGATACATATGATATGCACTCCATACTGTCGAATGCCTTATCTAAATAGCTTTAACTCGAAACGAAATAACGAATAATAAATGGAAACACGAAGAGTCCCAGCGCCAGCCCATAAACCAGAGACCCACAAATCATTGCGTTTGCCCCGCTGAATTATGCCCGGACAAAGCTCTGCTGTAGTGGGTGTTTTTTTCTTTTTTATTTTTTTAGAAGGGTGAGGCGGTGTTTTTTAAGTTAGCTGCCGATGCTACCGATGCGACGGTCCAAGGCAGTAAATCATATTTTATATTTCCCCCAAAAAGAAGTTGCAACGAACTGTAGCAGGCAACTTAAGGGCTGGCGGCTGGAGTCCAATAGTTACTCTGCTCACTGCCCACATATGGCGTCGATAAATTAAATCGAGAGGGGTGAGTGTGGTGAGTGGTGGCGTGAGTGGGGTGCAGAGTTATATTTTAGCCATGCCCCTGCATTTTGACAGCTAGCCGCCCAGTGACTACCTGACAATTTATTGTATTATACCGTTTGGCATTTGGCTACCCACATTGGGAATGACCTCTTTGGGTGACTCACGTACATGTGTGTGTGTGTGTGAAAGTGAAGAGTAAAGAGAGAAGAGAGGGGTTTGACAGGGAGTCATAAAAAATATGCTATAAACTTGGCACATGCACACACATATTGGCATTGGCGTTGGCATCAATAATTCTTTCATAAATGTCCATTTCGCCACATACTACTAGAGCAGAGAATCGCAGAGAGGCGACACCGTGAGGCGACTCCCATATCGAATGGGTTACATATATAAGTGATGTTCACGTTCAGTGCTTCTGACAAGCGTTGCTTTCTCTCTCGCCCACTCTCCCCCTCTCTTTCTCTCTCCCTCTCTTTATATCTTTTAAGAGGTATTCCAGTTTTATAAATGTATGTCATCTGTGATCCTGTCAGGCGTATACAATGTATAATTATTTAAAAAATAAAGTAATATTCTACATGCTGAGCAGAACCCATTTTTTGAAAACCAGCAGCATTACAATTACAATACACACACAAAATATATATAAATATATAAATATGATTAATGAATAAATATCTAACTAAAAGATCAATTTATAATTTATGAAGAATGTAAGAACTAATATTAAATAGTTAGATTATAAATTTTCTTTTCATTTAAATTATTGATCTCCCCTTTAATTTAAATTTATATTTTCTACAGGAACTAGACACTTTGATTTCTTCACTATCTAAGCTCTTCCCGCAAACTTCGCATAGGGTATCTCCTAGTCAAACACTTTTAGCTACCGCAAGCAACTGTTTTTTTCTTTTTTTTTTAATTTTTTACCACAGCAGGTAAAAGCCGCGGTGGCCATTATAGTTCTCGCTGGCCGCGTCCATTTATCATTGAACAGAAGTGCCGCAGCTCGCTCCCCGCACTCCCCGCACTCCTCACCCCTCCTGCTGGCCGCATAAAAAAGCTGTATTTCTCAGCCAGCGGGGAGAGAGAGTTGGCCAAAAGAAAAAAAAATAAAAAAAACAGTAGCAACAATTTATCGGTTGGGAATTTTGTGAAAATATTTCTTCTACCGTTTGCAAATTTATTTTTCCTGCTCGCTGCGAAATATAATGGAGATGAAAAATCGGCGCTGATAAGAAAGAAGTAAAAAAAAGAAAAAGAGAGAAAACATTACAATGTGCAAGCGGTAAAATATAAATTATGCCTCTACAATGGGCCACAAGTAGCTATTAAAACGACCAATCCGTTAGTAACAAAAGGTAAGAAGGTACATGAGGGACAGACACGAAGGTGGCAACTACCATGGCAGCCATTAGAAGCGCCGACTTGTCCCATGATAAGTGTTGACTGCATATTTAAAATGCAGACACAGTGCACTCCGGGTAAGATCGTAATTCATTGAAATTTACGATTGAAGCAGCAACAAAAACAACATCAACACAAACAACAACAAAGCAATTGCAGTTGCACAAAAGCATGTGAAATATTCACAACTTATCACACACTTACTTTTTAGTAAGTAGCCGAAGCGTGAGTGCTCAACTGATCCTGTTGAAAGTCGTAAAAAGTATATTAATTATAACATTATGAATATTACTCTTATTATGATTTCTGCTTTGGACAGAAACACATCCAACGAGGAAGCCGCACAAAAGCCTATGAAATATTCACAACTTGTCATGCATTACTTTTTTTACTGTTAGTACTGTTTTTTAATATAGTAAAAAAATAGTATGTTTCCTATAATATTATGAAAATGATTTCTATTACGATTCATACTCTAGGCAGGAACGCATCCACCGAGCAATAAGCTGGCAATTTAAATGACATATTTCTACACGTTGCATGCATTCCATCTTCCTTTTTAGGCATAAAGTTTGCAAACTAGTCCAACGCGTCAAAGCAAGTTTTATGCTCTCCTTATGTGGAACACAATTGCATTTAGGTATTTATATATATTTATATATACATATATTATTTATATTGCATATATCAGTTATTTTGAACAATCAAGGAAAGGGAGAGTATGTGACAAGCGTGGCAAAAGCAGAGTGCAAGCCGCAATAATAATTTTCAAAGCGAAATGACAGCCGACAAAACCATATATCATTGTGTATGGGGGCCGTGGCGTTTCTTCTGTCTGGCTTTGCCACCCACGAGCTGAACTTTTGTCATTTGAAAGGCGTCGCTGGCTGTCTTAACCAATGTCTGACTGCCAGTCCTGTCCGCCCCTCCAACCGTCCGTCCGTCCGTCTGTCTGTCCGTCCGTCTGACTGGCATGTTAAGTTTTAATTTCTCGCCAAAAAAAGAGAAAACAACAAAATCGGTTTTATAAATTACCGCTGAAATTGTCGCATGTGCTGATGCATTGCTAGCAAATTATGCGCGCTTTATGTGACGACACGCATATAAATATATATATATATATATATATATGTATACATATATACAGACAAATGTTTGTGCATGTGTACACTTAAAAAAATCGACTGAACTTTAGAAAATCTCCCTTTTTAATATACCCAACAAAAATAACTCAGATATATTACAGATTGAGATGTTGAAGCTCAATTTTCAGCAAAGTCGATTTTCCTATGTCGAGAATAATTTGTTCTTGATTTTATTTATCTTGAAGGAAGTATAACATTAATAGAGAGTAGTAGTAGTTCAGTAGAAAATTACACTCTCAGTTTCAAACTCCAAATAATATAAATTAAATATGTACCGGTCTTATAAATATTCTCACTTGTGGCACTAGTAGCGTTAATAAAATAAATTAAATACACATACTCGTATAACGCATTGCTTTCTATGTATTTATTTGATTACTTTGTTAAATTAAAATTTTCCTGGCCTTAAAATGTTCTCGAGTAAATAAAGAAATATGTAGCATTTATTTGCTGTGTACTTATATTGTTGCTTAGTTCTTAGCTCCACTTACAGCAGAGACCCCACAAACCGAACCCAGCCCAGAAACTGTCTGATGACATTTCCATAATTAGTCGAGCGTGTCCCGACTTGTCTTTCTTCGTTGCATGTTTGAACGCTTGCCTTGATTTGATTTGATGCTCAAAGTGAGCTGCAGATTGTGGCACACTGAACACTGAGTACTGAGTACTGAGTACTGAATACTAGTGGCTGTTGGCTGTTGACTGCTGACTGCTGGAAACTGGAGACGAGTACTTCAAGTTGTCCGTCGTTACAACGTCTACACACATAAAGACACATTTATTTATTATGCACAGTTTGCAATCGTTTGCAGTGTGTTCCTGTCCTCATCCATTGCAGCCATCGTCTTCATCCATGTGCGAATTGACGCCGCATTTATGGTGTTGAAATATTAATGCCCAGAGTTGGTTGGTCATGTCATTTTGATTTATGAGTCTCTGCTCGCACAATGCGTGTATCAAGATATGGCCATTGGATAAGGGGATAAGGGGCAAATTGTGTGGAGAGAAGGTATTATGAGATATGAGTAAGAGGCGCATTGAGATGTTGAAAGTACAAGTCGTTATAAGTATGAGAAGAAGCGCTGACTGACAGACGTATGAGTGCGGATTGTTACCTAAATGTAGATACAGATACAGGGTGGGACAACATTTCTCTTCTTTTTTTTTATTATCAGTATAATTGTGATATTTACGCAATTTATAACTTGTATTTTACAAATCGTAATTGCGCTTTGATGATTTAATAATGATAATAACAGAGAGTCGTGAGCAACACACATAAAAATTGTAATCAGCCGAGAAATATATTACCATAAAAAAGAAACTATGATTGGCTGACCTCAGCAGATGCTGCACCCAAACAACAGCCACAGAGAGGCACATACATAATCCAGCTGCAACGTTCCAGGGAAACAAACCCAACACCCAAGCAAGGAGCACACGATCGAAGTGGCAATCGCGGCTACAAGCGAAAAACAAGCCAAAGACAGCTACTTACTTACTTACTACTTGCAGCGAGAAGCAGAGAGAAGACCAGAAGCAGATATACGACGACAACAACTGGAGTCGATTCTGCTATATATATATATATATACATGTGTGAGGAGGCTTGAACGGTTAGTCTGAGGTCGGCTTGTTGGCTTCTTGCTGGCAAATGCATTTTTATCTTTTCTTTTTTTCTTTTTTTTTTTTTGTTGTGTGTGCTTCTTTCTCCTGTTGGATCGAAAATGCGTGGACATTAAATATGCATGAGGGGACATAACATATAAATAAATTTAGCAACAGTTTGTATGCAGAACTGGCAAATGCATTTATCGATGATGATGGTAATGATGATGCCCCTTTCGAAGGTGTTGAGCCAGCACACACGACGCCTCGCAACGTGGCCCCAAAGAGAGCACGCAATCGCCACGGCAGACCGACCGCCGTGAAGCCATTTGACAGCCCACCACAGAGGGAGGGGTGAAGGGCACGCAGCTAACCATAGAGACTGTATGCACGGTAAAAATTCTCCATGCTCCAATGCTCCCATGCTACCATGCTACCATGCTCCCATGCTCCTTACTCCTTATGCCATGCCCAACCCAAGCGAGCGCGGTTTTGAGCTTTTGGCTCATGCCAATTGCCTCTCTGGCTTTTGGTCAATGTGGTCAACGACGTGCTGCATTTTAAATATGAGCGCATCTGCTGTCTCTTTCTTCCTTTTTTTTTTTGCTGTTGTTCGCCTGTCCTTGTCTGCTTACAATGTTGTCAAGAATTTAGCTGGCAGTTTGACACTCGCATGGATTGCATTGCTCCCTGCGCAGCTCCCAGCCTGCCAGTCTGCTAGTCTGCCTGCCTCAGTCTCGTCGTGTTGCACGTAAATTTCTGGTACGACAATATATGCCACGATTTTATGGGTTCCACGTAGCACGCGCCCCTCTGTCAGCAGCGATTTGCGCATTGTCCTCTCTCTCTCTATCCCTCTCTCTGTCTCTCTGTTTCTTGCAGTATTAGTGTGTGAACATATTGCAAATGTTGGGGATTGCTCTCGGATCAATTCAATTAGCGGTCGAGCCGAGCATTATGCGACTATAACCACATATCTGTCTATCATTATCTGACATGATCTAATTATTATTTCAAGCATTCGAAATGAGCAAATCAGTGTGCAGAACATTTGTCGCCATTCTAACAATTATGCATATTAGCACGAATTTGACCTATTAGACACCAATTAGTGGATAATTACTAATTACTGTTCAATATAACGAGCATAAGGATTTGAATTGTGTTAGATTTACAGATACGTTAATAGTAAACCTTAACAAACATTTGCAAAAATATAAGGAAAATTGAAAGGGCTACAGAAATATAAAAATGGAATATTTTTTGGAGCACTCTGGATTTTCCCACATAAAAAACATTATATTTGCATTTGCAGTTTCGAATGCTATGTGCAAATAATATTTTTTGTTTTTTAAAATTTTTAAATTTCAATGAATAAATATTCGATCTGATGGTAAATAGATAATTTAGTAAGTCAATAAATATATATCGATATTTAATTTTTGGAAAAGGGGTGACTGAATTTCATAAAGTTATTTTATTTATTTTACCCATGCCTGACTATTGGAAAACCCGTTTGAGGCAATGCAGTATTAATTTCCTATATCGTAAAGCTAATAAAACTTTGTATATGGTTCATTTAAGAGATAAATTAAGTATTTTGCATTATATTATTGATCTGATTATCTGTTTAGCTAAATTAATTGTTTAGCAATAATTTTAATCTATAACTAGTTCATTAAATCGAAAACTATAAATTGTTAATCATTTATGGACTACTTAATGGAAATAATTACACTCGCAAAAAAAATTGCGATAATTTCAGAAAAAATCGCGATAAATTGAAAAACGGTCTGAAAATAAGAATTATGTCTGTTTCTAATATAAAAAAAATATTCCTAAAATATTTTAAGTTTTGTCTATTTTTCAGAAATACTATTTTCAGTAAAGCGTTAAGTGTAAAGATAATTCATATTTTGATATTTGAAAAACAGCAGCAGCTGAGTGCAGTTATGAATACGTTGTGACAAGCTCGGACGTCAGTTGGTCAGTTTGCCATCGTATATCATCTATATATGATACGAGAGGGGGGAGGGGCATAATACTTTTAACAATGTGTCGCCGCATTTGCATACAGAACAGCAGTAGTCGATGTATGCATGTGGCATTGTATGGAGATAATTTCCTCAGTGGCCGCAACGTGGCCGCTATAAATTATGGCAACAGGCTTGTGGCAGCAGCACGGCTGCTGTTGATTTTTATCAACGTCATCAGCTTAATTGCCTCACTGTGCCCCGGCCAGTTCAGCGACAACGACAACGACAACGACAACGTTGTTGGCTATGGGCCCCTTTTACAAATTTATCTAGAAATTGTTGTGTATGATGTGTGTGTGTATGCTGTGTGTGTGTGTGTTTGTGTGTGTGTGGTGTGCGCTGTAGTTGCAATTATTAATGAAATATTGCTGTCAGTAATTATTTGTTATAAATTTGCATAGATATTGCAATTTGTACACTTCACTCGCAGTTCACAGCTTAGCAATTCACAACCTCTTCCGCTCTCCTTCTCTCACACTAACTCTCGCTCTCTCTCTCTCTCTCTCACTCTCGCTCTCTCTCTCTCTCTCTCTCTCTCTCTCTATATCACTCACTCGCCCACTCACTCGCTCTGTAGTTGCTTAAGTCAGCGGCATTATTAATGACAATGTAAGCGCATGATAAATATCGTTGACACAAGCGTTTGAGTTAGCTGCTTGTTTATAAGGCTATATTTATAAACATATACGTTTAAGTCGGTTAATTATGACTTACAACAGCAGTAAAGCAAGTAGGCAACTGCAGCTAAACTGACTAAACTAGACGCATACCATAAATACCGTTCTCACCTAATTCTGTTTATGCTGATGTGAACGTGATGTGAACGTAATGTGACATTTTTCAGATGAACTAAGCCCGAGCCGCTCATAAAATATCAGATAAATGACTCTAACGACTGCAATTCTTCCCAGAAAATCACTTGTAATAACTACTAATTATTTGACTATATTTTATTTAAGATACTTGCTAAATGTTAGTTTGCTTAATTTGTCGTTCTCATTTTTATTTTTTATACTTTACTCCAATCCTATTATTATTATTATTTTTATTAAATATTGTTGAAAATATGTAAAAGATCAATACAACATTCCGATTACTAATGTTAATAACAGAAAATATCGATACTGCGCTCGATACCTTAACTTAAGAATACATTGAATAAATCTTCTTTGTCTAACCGCCAAACCTAGTGCACCACTTTTTGCCGCTTTAAAAACCCAACAAATATTAATATTACTATTATTCATATATTTTATTATTATAGTATTAACAGCTTATGTAGTATAAGTTCTACAGTTTAATTGATATGCTCCCGCTCTGCTACCGATATTTCTGCTATTGCTCCAAAAACAGAGAGCAGAATGGAAATAGTTTTGCTCTTGCTACTGCTATTGCTCTTGCAAAGAGCAGAGCATTAATTTCAGTGTTATGCTATTTGGCACTGCTATTGGTCTATTAAAGTTTGGAGCAGTATAAATATAATTTTTAATTATTGCTTTTAAATTAAAATTCAAAAAACATATCTCCTCCTTTTATCTGTAGGTCATTCACAGCTTTAAGTTTATCTATTAAATTAATCTTTGACAGTCTGATGAGCTTCTTTATAAGATATTAATCTCAAATCGTGCTCAGAATATTTATTAGATAGTAATTTACTTTTAGTTATTGCATTAATTGAAGTGAAGCTGCCATCTCTGACCAGATCTCAAGGTTTAAAGCTCACAATTTATGATCGACACCTGCATAAACAAATTAGCAGGCATTTCACAAATACTCACTCGATCATAAACAAGAAAATGCATCCAATTTTGCGTGTACATGTGAAAATCGGCAACTGTGTGTCAAAATGTATAATTTTAATTATAAAATCCAAACATGTTCCATCCACTCGGCAAATGCGAGAGCGTCCCCAACTAATCTGGCACAATGATTTCAAATAAATGCCACAATTTGTAAACAATTTGCGGCGACTTAATTTATATGCCTGTATGATGCTCAAATATTGTAATTATAATTTGCAAATTAGTTGCGAGCTGCAACATACAAATGCCAGCTAACGGCTAAAGTATCTATACGAGATTATACTTCCTGATTGTACTGATATTTTGGCCAATTTGCATAATTAAAATGTCCATGTTTGTCTTTAATCCTACACAAAACATAGCTGATTACAGATTTTATATGTTCAGCCACTTGTAATGCATTTCATAAGCTGCATTCAAATCTGCCAGGCTTCTAGAGATGGACACATTTTGAGTTTCATTTTGATGGGAACTTCAATATGCATTGTGCATATTAATTACATTACTTTTTTTGATTAACAAAATCCGTGTTTCTTCTCCGATCAAAATGCAATTTTTACAGTTTACAGATCATTAATATATCTGGGTATATTATTTATCAATTATGTCTTTTAATGCTATCGAAAATCGATTTGTATTGATATTACCGAATCGATTAATTGAAAATTTTAAGTCCTTTGCTCTGTATAGTCTTTGAGATCGGTTTTGGCACACAGACATGGCTAAATCGACTCGAATTTTGATCCTGATCAGAAATATATTCCCTTTTTGAGCTCGGAAATATTTCCTTCTGCATGCTATATACTTTTGCACATCGAATACTTTTATATTATGTTATTTATGTCATATATTTATTTTATTAAAAAGCAACCCTGTCAAGCGGCTTCGAATTTCTAATGATATTCAATTAAAAATATAAATATAATTCTTTAAAACTGTGAATTTTCAATAGCTGATTAAAATGATGCCACAAATATGGATGGACAATGATAATGCGGACGCCATTCTGCTGCCAAAATCCGCTCGCAAAGCAATTAGTGAAAGTGCTGGCAAAAAGAGTGTTTTGACCAAATTGGAGAACGTTATCCTCAGCCACAAATCGCATCCGACGCTACTCAAAGACTCCAACACAAAATGGCCAAAATCATCGATCTGCAAGGAGACGCCGCAGAAGCAGCATCGGCAACAGCTGCAGGAGAAGAGTTATGCGGGGCAGTCAATTGAAGGGGGGCTGTGGAAAGCAGCGGAATTGAGTGCTGCCAATAATCTGAATGTGAGATCGGCTGATACCAACGATAGCCTGGATCTGTTTGACTGTATTCAATTTCCAACTCAGAAATGTTTGCGCAATTGCCAAAAACCAATATCACCAAATTGGATGGAACCCTTGCTAAGTGAGCAACTTATCGATAAACTGCTAAACAATACACTCGCTGGGGATGAACTTAGAGTGCCCGATATACCCGCTTATCCCGATTTAGATCAGGATGAATTTGCACTTAAGTCTTTAACAGATAAACTAAATGAATCTGTGGAGAAGTCTACCGAAGTATTTGAGGTCATGCTGCCGCCAGTCTTATATGATATTGATTTCGACGAGGAACCGTTTAAGTTTTAAATATGTGTTGGATAAATAAGGTGTTTATATGATGAAAACAGATAAGAACTGAGCATGGCAAATGAATAATGTATCTGATAAGTCTTTAGTTCGTTAACATATATTACAATTTGTAATTTTTATGTCTTAAGAATAACCTTATATTGTTATTCTTGTATAGAGTGAGAAATATCGGAAATACTACTACATAGTGTGCTCTAATCTTTTAAAGTATTATTCTACACATTAAATACTATTATTTGAGAGTAAGAAAAAAAGATCCTAAAAGCACACTTAAATAATTTCCACAGTTGCCAACTGCTTCAAATGTTAATTTTATATAAAAGATATCAATATAAATCAAGTGTTTAATACAATACAATTTCGTATTGAAAATATCCATCACGAGCTCCTCTCTACGATGAAAACAAGAACATAATTGGCAACTGACAGCGACCACAATTTGCGAACACACACACACACAATCAGACACACAATCATACACACATATTTAACTAAAATGTGGATGGAAGTACAAACATTGTTTGAGGGCTTGTTATGACGAATGCTGAATGGTGAATACTGAGTGCTGACCACTTTGCCCAGGGCTAATCGTCTGAAGTAATTCCCCAACAAAAACTGCCACTCAACATGCATAATTTAGGTAACAAATGATAACTCGAAGAAATGTGAAACCATGCATAAATTTCCATTGCTTGCAAGTGCAGTCGGCACTCAGGTGAGTTGGACTGGCATCTGGCATGCACTTGCCGACTGACTGGCTGACTGACTGAGTGACTGACAGACAAACAGACATAGAGTCAGACTGAGTTGCAGGCGAACTGCTTTTGATTTATTACAATTTCAGAGTCAGGGTGGATGGGTGGATGGTTGAGATGGTGGGTGGTTGGCGAGGGAACGGAAGGTTGCTCATCAGCAGCTGCAGTCAGCTTTAGCTTTGGCTTTGGCTTTGCCTCATAATTCATTAACAAGCGGAGGCAGTACTGGCCAGAAGGAAGAAAAACATCATCCATCAGTGAGAGATAGAGAGAGGGAGAGAGAGAGAGAGTGGCTCAGAATGAATGGCATGAGAATGTTGTCAATGCAATGTTGCATCAAGATGGTGTGGCTTATGAAAGGGGAATTGATGATTCTAGAAGGTATGCTTTATGCACCAGAGCATTGCTGAGCATTATGCTTAATTCAATTCAATATCGAGATCTATTGTAACTAGATATGAACATATATATATATACAATATACAAATATATATAGCTATTTTAGCTGGTAGAAAACTGGTTTGATTGAATTCACAGTTGACTTGTCGTATTTATTATACAGAATGTCAGTCAATTCACTTTAGTTCAATGTTTGCATTGCTAAAGTATTGCTATCATTTAATTAGAGCAAATAAAATGCAACGAGCGTGCTAATTAAATGCATTTTTAATTTGTAATCAATTAAGTGAATTACACTCCACTGAGTATTGTAGATAGCGATTGTGCTTGTAATTGCTTTATATTGTCAAACGGGAGTCAAACGAATCGATTAAATTCAATTCAAGTTCAGCTGTCCTCATTAGTGCTTCACACACGATTCAAAAGTACTTAAAAATCGATTTAGAGTGGGTAAAAAATTACTTTCTAACTATCTATTTATCTATCTCTCTCTCTTTCTCTCTGTTGAAAAGGTATCAAATAATATCTGTTCTGAAAAGAAAGCAAATGTTTCAAAAATGAACTAATCTGTTAAATTTTCACTACAATTAGAATGTTTAGAATGTTGTTTTCAATGCAAGTCTCATTAGCTTAAGCGAATTAAAATATTTTATAAGGTAATCCATAAAGTACTCGTGGAATCTCGTTTGAGTCTTAAACTGCTTTCAAATATATATAATAATTGGCAGCTGTTGAATTGTGTTACTCAACAATAATTGCTTATATTTTAACCGCTATGTTGTTTTTTTTATTACTTGCAATTTAATGATCTAAAATCAAGTTTATTTTATGCAACACATAAATTTTAATTCAAAGTGTTAAAATATTCAAATTCAACTAATAAATATCCATTAAATTCCTGTATTTTTATCTGTAAGTCTAGTCTATAGAGCACTTTATTTTATTACTAATTGTACTATTATTTGCACCTAATAATAATATATCTTTTTTTTAATTCTTTAATATTTCGAATCGGGATTCGTTCAGTCAGCTGTTACATTATTATATTAAATAAAAATTCCAACCTAAAATGTAATAAAGTGACCACTATATTATTAGTTACAAAATTCCATGGTGAAAATCCAACAAATCTATCGAGTTTATCAACTGCCCATCAACATTTTGGCAGCTTCGACCAATAAATTGCGACATTTATTTGAGGAAAAAAAAATGGGTTTAGGAATTGCTTCAGCTGACATACCACGTACATTACTTACTCTTTCTAAATGCTCGACATCGTTTAACATGTTCCTGGAATTCAGTGGGTTCCTTTTATGCCGACAATGCGCTCCAATGCGGTGGTCACATCGCCATCGCCATCGCCATCGTCATCGTCAGCCACATGGTTTGATTTTGTCTCCACTGGCTCATTGGATTGTTCGATGTGCTTTTTGGACTGACCATGGACTGACCATGTTGGTTAGCACTTATTTGGCAACATTGTCATCGATATAAAACGGGCTTTGTTTGTCCACTGGTCAAGGCAGTGGCTGCGGCATCGGCATCGGCATCCGTTGCGCATATTTCGAATACTCCATGCCAGCTCTTCTTTCTTCTCTGAATCTGGGAATACACACCCGTGTGTGTGTGAGTGTCCATTTCTGTGGTCAGCTCGAGTCTGAGTCTGGGTATCGGGTCTGTGTCTGCCTCTGCTTCTGCTTCTGGGTCTGAGTCTGGGCATGGTGTCTGCTTCTGGTTCTCTGGACTTAAGCATTATCAACTTGTGTGCATCAGTATTTGGTTTCGCGTGAAATTCACTCACGACTTGTAATTATTTAATTTTATTGTTTGTTTTACGCTGCCGTCAGATCGCAACAGCAACAGCAACAACAGCAACAACAACAACAACAACAACAACAACAGTATCATCGTCGCCCGGGCTGCCGTTTAACAAGATTTCTATATCAGATCACTTGTATACAATAATGGCCTTCAAATTACAGTGCAAATAGCCGCATTCAGTTTGGGCGTCATAATCTGTATATGGTTAAGACTCGTTAGCTTTCGATAACTAAAACTAGCTGTGTGCACTGCTCAACATTGATTATAATCGATGAAAATATAATTTGCATATAACCACAACTTAAACAAGTGCACTTTGAATGAATCTTTCAAACAAACAGCTGTCATTTAACCCCAACATTGAATTTGCATTGAAATCCTCTTTGTTTTGCCATATCTATCACATCATAGTTGATACAGCCCTTGAGTATATTTGTGAATGCATAAAATATTTCAATTTAAATTTGTTTTTATCGTTGTTTTGGTGTTTTTTTTTTTTTGCACAGATGCAGCTTAACTCAGTTGTCTGTCAGCATTCATACTTGGTTTTTATCCACTCCCTGCAACTGTAAATAAATGTACGAATTTTTTGAAAAATATTCAAATTCCATTTGAATAATTTACGTTGAAAAATTGCTGACCTGTGAAGCAAATGCTAAATAATTTAGAGCATTGAATTCCACAAAACTGTTTTAGTGATACTCTACTACATCGATTGCCAAATCCATCGAGTTATTTTACTTGTGGAATGCAGTTTCGAAACACTAAAAATATAAATAATAATACTTCAAAGAGAAGAACATTGTAGTGCCACAAACAGTCATTCCTGACAACAAAATTAGAGTGTCAAAAAATTATTGTTGGCAGCCAAATAAAAACATTATACTTACTAAGCTTCAAAATTAGTATGTCAAAATGGAGAATGTGAATACTTTTTGAGATAGTAAGATTTATATTTCTTTGCAAAAATTAAAAAAAAAAATTAAGTTTGAATGCTGAAGTTCAGACACCACGACTTGCAGATACCCTAATTATAATAATTGTGGGCTTTCAGTTTGGTCAATATGAAAATATATTTTGAATTGCAAAATTTGTGTTTCCTTTTCGCTCTTAACGAAATTCGTACAGTTGATCAATAAAAAGCCTAGGTATATTGTACATTGTAAGTGGAATGTTATATTTTGATCGATATCTGCGAAACGTTATCGCCAAATTTGAAGACCCTTATAATCTCTGAGATGGCAGCTTTCAAACAGGACATGGCTAAATCGACTCGTCTGTTAATGCTGATCAAAAATATATATACACCATATGGGATCGAAGAGGCTTCCTTCTGCCTGTTACAGACTTCATTACACTCCTTTTGTCCAGTTTGAACGGCTTCAGAGTTTGGCAAAAACCCCATCTTTGATAGACGTTTATTTCCAATAACATTCCAATCTATCTGACTTGAAGCATTTCAATATTAAGGGTTCTTAAATGCTTTATTATAAGCTGTTAGCACAAATGTCAAAATTAATTACTTATGTCACTAACAACAAATCATAAAACACAACATTTCAACATTATTTATAACGCAAGACAATCAAAGTGGTCGCCGTTTCTTTGATCTGTTCCGACGTGTGGCCTTTTTTTTTGTGGAGCTGTCAAAAAGGGGTAACGAAAATTTATGTGACACAAATATTTAGCCATCAAATCATCACTCAAAAAATATTCAGCTTGATTATATGGAGGTTAAGACTCTTAATATCTGTGGACTTCACAATTTGTTTGAGTGAAAAAAAATAAAATAATAATGATGGAAACGTCTTCTCCAGATATGATATGATGTGTGAGCATTTTATTCGTAGTCGTCGTATATACATATATATATATATATATATGTATATATATTTAGATTGTTCATTTGTTGTTGGTAATTTAAAAGCATCATAGAACATTGTCACATGCGTGTCTCCATATAAATTCATAGCTGACAAATTGTTGGCACAGCTGTTTGTGTTTTAAATAAGCAGGCGGATTTTAGTTAATGGCCCCCAACGGTTTCACTTAAGTTGTTTATGGCTTTTGTGTGTGGGAATAGAGTAGCCGAAAT